CTGATGACGATGATGATGATGACGAGCATGTGTTTCAAGATGCTGCTGACGATGATGATGATGACGAGCATGTGTTTCAAGATCTTGCTGATGATGGTGATGACGAGCATGTGTTTCAATGCGCTGCTGATGACGATGACGAGCATGTGTTTCAAGATGCTGCTGATGACGATGGTGTTGACGAGCATGTGTTTCAAGATGCTGCTGATGACGATGGTGCTGACCAGCATGTGTTTCAAGATGCTGCTGATGACGATGGTGATGACGAGCATGTGTTTCAAGATGCTGCTGATGACGATGATGATGATGACGAGCATGTGTTTCAAGATGCTGCTGATGACGATGATGATGATGACGAGTATGTGTCTCAAGATGCTGCCCATGACGATGGTAACGACGAGCATGTGTTTCAAGATGCTGCTGATGACGATGATGATGATGAGTATGTGTTTCAAGATTCTGCTGATGACGATGGTGATGACGAGCATGCGTTGGGAGCAATGCGTTGTCATAATGAGCTTCGCAGAGCACAATCGAGTGGGAAGCACAGCCCACCAGACTAAGGGAATAACTCCCTGGGGCTAGGCACCCATAGCAGATTCCATAAGTTATCCTCTCTTTACCCTTCTTCCTCCTCCTCCTCCCTCCTCCGCCTCCACCTCCGTCTCTTCCTCCTCACCCCTCTTACTTCCAATGGGTGAGCGCCGAAGCGCGTTCCAGAGATATTAATAAGCCTTAATATCTCGATTCTCCGGCCTCCGGAGGCCCGAAACAAACATTAGCGGATTACAAATTGATTTCTTTTGTTGTTGAATTACAAAAGGGAATCCTTTTGTGGTGAACTACACATTGTTTTATTTTGTGGCAGATTACAAAAGGATTCCTTTTGTGGAGAATTACAAAAGGACTTCTTTTGTGGAGGATCACATGATGATTCCTTTTTGTGGCGAATTACAAAAGGGAATCCTTCTGTGGTGAATTACAAAAGGATCTCTTTTGTGGAGGATTACAAAGGGATTCCCCTTGGTGGAGGAATACAAAGGGATTTCTTGTGTGGAGGATTACAAACTGATTTCCTTTGAGGGCTCTCCTGGAAGTGAACCAGGGGACAAAAGAAAAAACAAAAAAAACAGAAAATCTTAGAATATTTAAAAAATTGCAAGTTTTCCAGAATTTTCAATGTTTTGAAGCAAAAACATATAAAAACACAGCATTTCCAAGGTTTTGAGGCCGAAACCATATGAAAACACAGCATTTTGCATTCGGATTGTGAAAATGCTGTTTTTTTATATGTTTTTGCTTCAAAACATTGGAAAATCATTGAAAACCTGCAATTTTCTGAAATATTCAATGATTTTATGTTTTTTTGTTTTTTCTTTTGTCCCCTGGTTCACTTCCAGGAAAGCACTCAAAGGAAATCAATTTGTAATCCTCCACAAAAGGAATCCCTTTGTATTCCTCCACCAAAGGGAATTTCTTTGTAATCCTCCACAAAAGGGATCCTTTTGTAATCCTCCACAAAAGGAATCCTTTTGTAATCCGCCACAAAAGGAAACAATTTGTAATTCACCATGAACAGAATTCCCTTGTAATTCCCCACAAAAGAACTCAATTTTAAATGTGCTACAACAGGAATCGTTCTGCATTCCACTACTTTGAGCAATCCCTTTAGAGATGACGAAAAGCATAATCAACAGGAAAGCAAGCACATCAGAAGTAATAGACCAAAAACCGAGGTGGTACACACACACACGGTTTTATCAACCTTACGGGGGAGGGGGGGGGTCCGGGGCAGATACGACGCCCGCCGGAGCGCACTTTCCTCGAGCGGGCACGCACGGGATGCACTTCATCCTCCTCCTGGTCCTCCTCCTCCTCCTTTTCCTCCTCCTCCTCCTCCTCCTCCTCTCCTCTCCTCCTTCTCCTCCTCCTCCTCCTCCTCCTCCTCCTCCTCCTCCTCCTCGCAAGGCGTCCCGGGAGCGGGCCCCGAGTCAAAATACCACCCCCCTAGGGCGCATTTTCCTCGAGCGGGCACGCCCGAGATGCACTTCTTCCTCTTCCGGGAGCACGTCCCAAGTCAGAATATCACACTCCCGGGGCGCACTTTCTTCGAGCGGGCACACAAAGGATGCACTTCCTCCTCCTCCTCCTCCTCCTCCCCTCCTCTTCATCCTCCTCCTCCTCCTCTCCTCCTCCTGCTCCTCCTCCTCCTCCTGCTCCTCCTCCTGCTCCTCCTCCTTTTCCTCCTCCTCCTCCTCCTCCTCCTCATCCTCCGCTTCCTCCCCCCACTCCTAGCCCTTTCGATCAGGGTCGGCGGCACCGGCCGTCAGGCCTCTCCAATCATCGAATCGGCACCGAATGTGTAATCACTTCCGATGGTTTTTTCGGGACGGTCGCCCGAAAATGAGGCCAACGATTCAGCGAGAGCAGCATTTTGAAAAAAACTCAGCGCGGAAGCGCGGAAATGAGGACGCGTAGTCTGACATGGCATGGCGTGGCGACGCCCCAAAGTGGGGTGGGGGCTTCTGCGGCACAAAAAATCAACGAATCGACACCGAATTTGTAATCACTTCCGATGGTTTACTCGGGAGGCCATTTTCTAGATTTTGGGACCGATTGGAAGGACCGAAGACCATGCCGTGGCATGGCGCTGGAAATAATGACGCCAGCGCTGCCCGTGGCATGGCGCTGGAAATAAGGACGCCAGCGCTGCATCTGGAGCATGACTCGGAACGAGCGGAAGCGCGGAAATGAGGCCAGCGCTGTAGCGGGAGCACGATTCGGAACGAGCGGTAGCCTGAAAATGAGGCCAGCAAAAAACAACGCGAAAACCCAACTCCCGGGAATACTGCTTGTAAAAAACAATACTCGGAGAGGGGGCCGGACATTCCCCGGACGCCCACCAGGGGGAGAGAGGAGAGTAGTCCTCATACAGTGTAACTGTGGAGGGTGGAGGGGGAGGTGGAGGGAGGAGAAGGACAAGCTAGGTGCGCTCGCGTCATATCTGACATCCTACCCCTCCCTCCCGTCCCTGACCATGGCGCAGGTCCCCTCTCTGCTCGCGCAAGTCGGATGTCGGGCAGGGCAAGGGTCCCGGAAGGGCACGCGAGGCCGTGTAGAGCACGGCGTGGCACGGCGCAGAAGAGCACCGCGAAGCGTAGCATGTCACAGCACGGCGTGGCGTGGCGTAGTGAAGAATTGCAGCACAAAGCCTTGCAGCGCAAAGGAGGGCAGAGGGGGGGGGGGGGGGGGGGGAAATGCCACGCAGGCGAACTTGCCTGCTTCCGACACAGGGCGCCATCCTCTCCGGCGGTCCCGCGGTCCCGCGGGGGTCCCGCTATAGGAGGAGGCCGGGGATGGCCAAGAGGGTGCCGGACGAGCGCCCGGCAGCCCCGTGCTTCGAGCAGGCGTCGGGGTGGCCAAGCACTGGCCATCGCTCGGACGTTCCTTTTTTGTGTTTTTTTTGGTTTCGTGCGTGGTTTTTTCGCCAAATGATCGAGGATGCTCCTCGATGGTCCTCGCTGAAGGAAAAATGCACACGTCCGAGCGATGCCAAGGTCGGGGTGGCCAAGCAGGGGAGTGATGACTGGAGGGGGGGCTGGCGATGGGGATCGCGGAGGGGGGGCAACTTGACGGCGCAACGGGCACCCAAAACCTTCGATCCTCGCAGTGCGATTCGCGGAATGGGGGAGGCATTAGGGAGGCATAAGAGGAGCAAGACGCGCCATGAACATCATTTCTCCGAGGACCGCGCGGGTTTCTTGGATCGGCGCTGGACCCCCCTCCCCACAGCGCGGAACGCGGCAGGGGCGGCGCCAGAGGCGGCGCCAGAGGCGCTGCCAGAGGGCCCCAGAGTTATGTCGGGCGTGTCCCCCTACAGGGGGATCTTCGACGAAAAGGAAAAATACCCCCCAAAAAACCCAGAAAGGCGAAAAGATCGTCCCAACATAGTCCCCAGACTTTTTTGGTACTATTTTGGGGGTATTTTTTATTTGTCATCGAACATCCCCCTGTAGAGGGACCGGCCCGACGTAACCCCAGAGCCGGCCCAAGAGAAATCCGCGCGGACCTCCGAGGAAGTATGTCTATGGCGTGTCGTGTCCTGCGAGGCAAGGGAGGCGGACCGCGTCGGTGCTTAGAGCACGGGGGGGGGGGGAGGGCGCGCCCCGAGCGAGAGAGGGCGAGAGAGAGAGGGAGCCAGAGAGCCAGAGAGGTAGAGAATTAGAGAGAGAGAGAGAGAGCCAGAGAGGTAAAGAGTTAGAGAGAGAGAAAACAAACAAAACGCAACAGTTCGGACAAGCCTGTCTGCCCTGGCCTCATGGGCTGTAAATGCCGCCCGGCCCAACCTCTCAACGCGGGAGGTGCCGCGACGCGAGCAGGGGAGAGGGAGAAGAAGAGAGGAGAGAGAGAGCGAGAGAGAGGAAGCCGTGGGAGCGAGAGAGAGAGAGAGAGAGAAGAGGAAGGCGTGGGAGGGGCCTGCTTCAACTCCTTCGTGAGGACCTGCAGCCGCTCCTCGATCTCCTTTACCTTGACAGTTCGTCGTCGCCGCCGTCTGGTGGAGGAGGTCGAGAGGAGGAGAGCAGGATGGGATGAGAACGAGCAGTGCGACAAGGAGGAGGAGGAGGAGGTGATGAGGAGGAGCAGAAGGAGGCGGAAGGATGTCGGAGGAGGAGGAAGAAGAGGAGAGGCCGGAAGAGGAAAAAAAGGAGGAGGGAAGGCTGCGTTCGAATCGAGCTCCGAAGCCGACAGCGACAGCGACAGTAGGAGGGCGATGAGGGGAGGAGGAGGGGGAGGATACGAGGGGAGGAGGAGGAGGAGGAGGAGGAGGAACAATGATGTTTGAGGGCGTTCCAGAGGTCACCGAATGGGCTGCAGAAGGGTTCACGGGGAGTCCGTGGATGTTATACAAGGTAGGGGGAGGGGTGCTTGGTTCCTGTGGGGATGAAGATGAGGTGGAGGAGCACACGCCGCTGAAGAGGAGGAGGAGGAAGAGAGCAAGATGGATATCACACCGCTTGAAGAGGAGGAGTAGGGGCGGTGATGCGACGCTGCTGAAGAAGTGAATGGTATCCCTACTAACGCACAGCGTGCATTCGTTGCGGGAAACTCACGTTGAGGAAAACTTGCGAGGCTGATCCCTCGCTGCGACATACGCAACACACGGATGCACTGATCCTCGCGCTGCATACAGCTCTTAATTCGCGCATGCAGCCGCCCTCTGAGGAACCAGGAACCGCTGCCTCCCGCACGAAGCAAGCCCAGCTGGTGGAGCCAACAAATGTCTCCACAGGAAGTATGCGGACAGATGGTGCATGTCTGGTCTGGAAGCACGCATCCAATTCTTAAATAATTCGTCCATGCTACCCGCTGCCATCTGAACCGCGACCCTGTATGAACACACAGCTGAGTCTGGCTCGACCGAAAAATTAATATCTGAGCAAAGACTTTTCCAGATGGCCACTCTGCAATGGATCCGTGCGACCGCAACTAAATCAGTTGTATTTCAGATGCGCCACAATCGACAAAGCAAAATGGCAACACGTTGAAAAAACGGGCAGGCCTATTGAACGGGAATGTGCATGTGAGATTAACAAGTCACATTCAACCATCTTGCACATGCCTTCAAACGTTTAGGCACTCTAGGGCCTAGGGGAACGAACACGTCCACAGCTGTGTACAAACGAAACCCGTCGCGAAGGCACTTGCGCCTGAAAATTTGGAGGAACATACCCCAGCCGCGAGTGTTCAGAGCGTGCCAGATGCATGCTGCGAACGCCTCAATGGAGGTTGTCGAAGATGAGGGCGTCCGTGATCTCGTCCTCCTCTTGAACAAAAAGCATCGGCGTAAACATAAACGTTCGGAGAATCCGCGCGAATTTCTTGGATCGGCGCTGGACCCCCTCCCTGGCACGCAGAGCGCGCCAAAGTGCAGCGCTGGCAGCGCCGCAAGGAGGGCCCGGCGCCGCCCAGAGACACCCGCACGGACCAGACTTACAGAAATGAGCTCCTGACCCGGATCGCACTTCCTGAATGCCGCGGCCACCGGGCCCCAACTTAGCTGCCCCGATACGCAACATGCAACACGTGGCGTATCGATACGAAGCTCAACACGTAGACTGAACACGTAGGTCTGACGCGATACGCTCGTCAAAACGTGGGCCAATGCGTTGAGCCAACACGCAACGTATTGACACGGACGTTTTGAACACGGCACGTGTTGCTTGGCAAAACGGGCGTATCGAGGCAGCTAACGGCCCCAAGTGTGCCGGTGCCCCCTGGGTATCACACTTCGTCCCTCCGGCCGACAACGGATGCACACCGCGGCAGCCGGGCCAAAAGTGTGCCTGTGGCGATACCTGGGTATACGGCCTCGTGCCTTCGACGGACGACGACTGCATACTGCCGCCAGGCCCAGGGTACCCAAGTGCTCTCGCCAAAATCCGATGTCTTGCCTTTCGGCTAACAAGCGCCATTTTTTGACACATTGCACAAGGAGCCCCCTGCAGGCGCGGAATTTTCGTCAAAACTATGTGTGGTGGTCGCGGGTGGGTCGCAGGTGGGTCGCGGGGTGGGTCGCGAGCGACGACAACAAAACAACAACGCAACAACAACAACAACAACAACCATCATTTTAAGATTGTTCGCTCTCATCTGCTCGCGTGTCATTCAATATGCATATCCCAAACCCTGGATACTCGCCCTCTTCGTCTTCGATCGTAACCCCCTTTTGGGGGTATAGTCATTCCCTGGCGCGCGTGGTTGGCGAAACCCTTGACAACGAAGGGTAACACATTACGGGGGGGAATGAGGACGAAAGGATCGTAGGAAGGGAGGGGAGGGGCTTGAAGGAAGGAAAACGATGATTTGCGCTGCGAGTGGCGAGCCAGCTTGCGCCATGGTTTGCGCCGGCCACTCCAACACAGGTTAACAATAAGTTTCGCCATGGGTCGCGCCATTAACAGCGCCACGTACCACCCCCTTGAAAGAACACATCGTGGATACCCCCACAGGGGGACGTACAGCTGCGAACTGGTGTCAGAACCAAATTGCGTGGAACCCTGAAAAAAAACGGGATGTTGGGAGAGCAGGGCGGAAGGATCGTGAGAACTGCAACCGTGCCGAAAGGAGCGCGGGGATGTGGAGTGGATTGGGATGGAGTGGACAACAGTAGGGTCTCAGGAGGAGGAGGAGCGGCAAAGAGTGGAGAAGAGGAGCTGGGAGGAGTGCGGAGGAGCGGGGGGGCGCACGGAAGAATCTGGAGGAGGACTGGGAATCATTAGGGAGAAATGCGGAATGCGGCCACTGAGGGCAGCAAAGGGGCCACGAAGAGCAGCGAAAGGGCCACGAAGGGCGACAGCGGGGCTACGAAGGGCAGGTGTATGGGGCCATGGCGGGCGACTGCGAGCGGGGGCCACGAAGGGCATACAATGCAGGCCCACAATGGGCAGCGACGGGGGCCACTGAGGGCATCGACGGGGCCACGAAGGGCAGCGAGCGAAGGCGACCGCGGAACCAGTACGGGCAGCGAGGGGCATCGAAGGCGGGCGAAGGGCAGCGAGCGGCGACTGCAGTCCCTAACGGGCTGGTCGGGCGGGCAAGCCCAGACGGGCGGGTCGAGCGGGCGGGTCGTTGAAGCGTGAATTCTGCTTGAACCGCCAGGCAATATATATAATATATATATTATATATATATATATATATATATATAAAAAAAAAAAAAAAACTGCTAGCGGGAGCGCGACTCCTGAGTGTCGAGGAGCGGCATCTGCATAACTTGTGAGGAAGTATCGGGCGGGAGCCGCGAGTCGGTGGTAAGTTGCGAGGAAGTCCCAAACGAGAGCGCGATTCTTCAACAAACTGTGAGGGAGTATCAAGCGGGAGCCGCGATCCGGTGGTAAATTGCAAGAAGTCCCAAACGAGAGCGCGATTCTTCAATGAATTGTGAGGACGCATCAGGCGGGAACCGCTGTTGTTGTAAACCGGGGGGCAACAGCGCAATTTGACCCTCAAGACTTTCCCTTGTCGAAAAAACAAGGTCCGAGCCCCGGGAAGGGCACTTCAATCGAAAAAAAACGATGTGCACCGGACGGGGGGTCAACAATAATTATTCTTCAGAAGAGAGAGTTCAACAACAACAACAATTACAACACTGGGAAGACTGATCGCTCTCATCTGCTCGCGTGCCGTTCAACACGTGTATATATAAAAGAGAGGGAGAGAGAGAGAGAGAGAGAGAGAGAGAGAGAGAGAGAGAGAGAGAGCGCGCCCACAGGGCCCGAGCAAAGGGGGGGGGGGGGCTAAGCTCAAGCTACCCCCCCCCCTCCCTGAGCCGCCCTTGTCGGAAGCACCCCCCTCCCTTTTTTTTGCAAGGGGGGGGGGCTTGCAGCTACCCCCCCCTCCCCCCTTGGGCCCTCCCCGGAAGCTACCCCCCCCCCCCCCCCCTTTCCAAAGGGGGGGGGGCTTAAGCTACCCCCCCCTCCCTTGGCGCCGCCCTGCTGGAAGCCGCCCCCCCCCCCTTTCGTGCAAAAGAAGGGGGGGGGGGGTGCTTGGAAGCTACCCCCCTCTCCTTTGGCCGCCCTGGAAGCTACCCCCCCTTTTCTACCTTTCTACCCCCCTTTCCAAAAGGAAGGGGGGTGCGTAAGCTACCCCCCCCCCCCCCTTTGAACCGCCCTGCTGAAAGCCCCCCCCCTCCCCTCACCCCCTTTGCGCCAAAGAGGGGGGGGGGGGGGGGAGCGCGAACTCAATCGTGTCCGTTTCGTTTCCGTAAGTGCGAGACGAGTGTCATTTGCAGCTATCCGTAACCATGGTGGCCTAAGCCGCCTTTTGGGCGGTCAGACGCTGGTTCCAGAGAGCCAGCCAGCTATCCGTAACCATGGTGGCCTAGGGGCCCCTTGAGCCGCCTTTTGGGCGGTCAGACACATTACTTGCTGGTTCCAGAGAGCCAGCCAGGTTACCGAGATGGAATATCATAATATTCAGACAAAGAGATTTCCCTGGGACAGATTCAAGGGCTGGCTATCTGGAGAATACCCGGACTGCGTGCAGACCAACGCTTGCGGCGAGGAGAGATATACATCTTTGGCTTCGCGCGTGCTGAGGTAAAAGAGAGCTTGAGATCCACGGACCTAGAGAGAGTTGACGATATTGCATCAACACTTATTCAGAGACACCTACCGGTGACCCGGCATTGGTAGCGGAGCCGGTTGGCTCCAATACCTTGACAGCCGGCAAAGATGGGAGAATCTCGAGACGACGGCAAGAAGGTTCCTACGTGGGATGGAGACGTCACCAGATTCCAGGAGTATCGAGAGCGTGTGAAATGGTATGCGGCTGGTCTTTCACATCGAGACAAACAAGTGGCAGGAGCTAGACTGGCGGCAGCTCTCACGGGAGAAGCATGGAAGGCGCTCGAGGAAGTTTCAGATGAAGGACGAGAGCTGCTGGAGAAGACTGGATGCCACAAGATATTATTAGAGTTCCTGAACGAGACGCTCATGGACGAACCCATACCGGAGGCCGCGAAGTACTTGAAGGAGTATTTGTTCACGCTGCGACGGAGGAACAACGAGGGCATGAAGGCCTACGCTCAGAGGAGCAGGATCGTCGCAGATAAGCAGGACCAGAGCTTCAGACGAATTGACGAGAAGGACACTACGACAGAGATCAAGCTTGCCAAGAAGATGCGGCCCGAGGAGAAGACAGAGTCCGCGACGCTGGAGCCCACTCGCGAACGGGAAGTCCCTGAAGGCGGAGATGAAGGCGCAGAGGACGACGGAAGCTGGAAGGACGAGAACGACGGCTACTGGAAGGGTAGCTGGTGGTATGGCAGCAGCTGGTGGTCGAGTTCACCGACAGGGTCAGCTGGCTGGACCTGGCCACAGGCGACGACATCGCTGAAGGCACACAAGAAGGTGACGCTGAAGGAGAAGGCTACGGATGCACTGTGCTCACTGATGGCACGTTTCGACCTGGAGGATGACGATGCCGACATCAAGGCGCTGAAGGAGGTGGCGACAGAGGCGCGCGAGACGCTGATCCCGTCGGTGATGGCGGGATGGCTGCTACTACAACGAGCCGGACTTAATGCTCAAGAGCGCGCGGGAGTCCTGTCGTCGGCCAAGAACTCGCTGAATCTGAAGAACATCGAGGCAGCGCTGCGGGACCAATGGGCAGACGTGGACCTGAAGGAGCACGACGCGCACAACAAGAAGAGAGACATATTCCCGCGCAAACCTGGCCGTGGACGAGCACTAGGAGTCTTTGGAGAAGATGAAGATGATCAAGAGGAGGCTCCAGGCGACTTCGACCCAGAAGACGACTACGAGGCCTACGCGGAGTTCGACTGGGACGAGGGCGAACTTGACCTCGAAGGTCTGGACGAGGAGGAACGCGCGGAGGCAGAGGAGGCACTGGCGGTCATCGCCGGAGCCAAGAAGGACGTCAAGAACCAGAAGAGGACGCTGGCACAAGCGCGGGCCGTGGTGAAGTATATCAAGCAGAGCCGAGGGTTCTTCCAGAAGGGCAAGGGCAAGGGCAAGAAAGGCGGCAAGGGCCAAGGAGGGCCGTGCTTCATCTGCAGTGGGCCGCACAGGAAGGCCGACTGCCCGAAAAACCCGGAGAATCGGAACAAGGAGCAGCCACGCGGACGAGCATCTCAGGTTGGAGCGTTGGCGTTCAGCTTCGCGAACTGGGAGGCCAACGACGACGAGCTCGAGGAGAACGACCTGGAGATGGCCTACGCGGAGTTCGAGGTGGAGCACGCGCTGGCCGGCCTCGCGGACGAGACGGAGGGGTGCATGGTGCTCGACAGCGGAGCGACGAAG